CATATCGATAGTGCCCGTAATGTGACTAACACCAAATTTGAAAGAAAAACATCCCGTTAAAAGCTGTAAACTATCGCGTTCACAATTCAATTGTTGACGGTCGGTCCAACTACTAGCCTACACCCTACGCCTGAAAAATTATAAGGTAACAGCACGTGGGTGCCACAATGGCGATATTAGATGTTTTGACACCCAGCACTACTTATATATATAACACACAAAATAATGAAATAAAGATGGCGACCATAAACGTTTTTTAATGCAGATATTAAATTTCCCTGTCAGAATAGTGTGGTTACCTGTAGACCCCTAGTCACAAAAGGAGTCTCCAGGGGGTGCATGGAGCTTATGTCCCCAACCTCCAATAATATGCAACGGATCCAATTTGGAGCTAGCATCTCTAGCATTGAAATTGCCTTTCTCAGGATGTGCAAGTACATAATTTTTTATCCATTCAGATTAAAAAGATCATAGCCCCTGCCTTTTACGCAAAATGAGAAATATGTAACAGGTTGCTGAATGTTCCGTTCCAGAATTATGCCTCCTTAGCCGAAAACCTTGTGAATGCGGTAGAGACCACATATTTTAACAGATATTTGTTTTCAATTTGGTGTGAAGCATTGGATTCATGACAGGACTAAACCTATCGATATTCAGTGGCTGGTATGAACTATAGCTTACACTGGATTAACCCGCGTGTGTGTTTTATACAGGCAATGATAAAGCAGGGTATCAAATAAATACGTATAAGTTATGTGGTCATGGAACTGAGCCAATCTTATTAGAAATCGTACATTTTAAGCGAAATTCCACAACTGGACTTAGGTTTACCAAATGGCATAGTTCGATAAACTCCAGTGTTTTCCGGGCCTAGTTAACTCTAGATAGTCCGAATGTCCCACTCTTTCCTCAATCTTGTTAATCATGGATTTTTTTGACGGACACTGGTCAGAAAAGACTCTGAATGACAAGGTGCTGTTTTTTTCAGCTTTTGTACTCCTACATTAGTAATGAGGTAAGCAGGATCACCACTAATTTTTAGCGTTCATCAAAATTGGTTCAGAACTGTTGCCTCTGATATTCCGTCCCACCGTCAGTCAAACACAGGTTGAAGGTTATTTATTTTAAAACTTACTGGGATTATTTAAAAACCACTATATATTCACAAACAGGGTCAAACTGACAGAAAATCACAATTCCATCATTTTATCCTTTCTATTCCAAAAAGGGTGGGATAAAGAAGGGGACGGGATATATCTATAAATAATTCGCTCAAGATTCATATCATAAACTCACCAAAGATCGGGGAGAGAATCCAGAGCAACAAGGTAAGGGGCGTAACTCCATGTTTTGGATTTGAATTTCTATTTTCTGCCAAGTTTTAGTGAATAATCATGAGTTTGGGGTGATCGCCTACATTAAAATGCCTATAGATTTCTCTTCAATATCTGTATCAGATGATTGTGATAATATATTGGGTTCCTTGTGGTTTTAAAGATTAAGAGATCGTTGAATAATGTTGAATGTTGAATAAAATGTAATAGGCTGTCATGTATTTAACACTAAAGTCAATGGGGGAGAAAAGTAGGTCTACTAGTCAAATCAGTTCAATTCGACAATCACCATTATATATTATTTTTTTCTATATTATAACATTAGTTTTACTTGCTAATTCTAGTCAATATTATCGTTGTATATTATATATTTCAACATATTGTATTTGTTTCAGTGTTTTGTATAGTTCCCCTTGTCAGTGATGTAGGACGGGAGGTCTGACAAGGACAGCTGTCTAGTCGTTCGGATTGGACGAAAATTCGAGGTCCCGAATTCGATATAAGAGTAGGCCGTAGCGCGCTGTCCGGGCAAAATTTCCTTCATATACATGTAGCACACTGTATGGAGTATACCCGCCTTCATTAGCCCAGTCGGAGCAGAACAGTAGGACGTTAAACCACATTTCATTTCATTTAATTTTTTTTGTTTTATTTGTTTTTTAATGAGTTTATCCCTCAGTAGTCAGTATGAAACTATTAATATTGCTTGAAATTACCTGACTGAACTGCAGTGCGCTTTCCGGGTTTAAGTGGTCGACAATCTCGTCAAGTAAGTTTTTTTGTTTTAAAGATCTGATACAAGTTTTAACATTTTCATTATGAATTCTTTCTCAGGATATGCTTTCGATGTTTGTAATTTCATTAAACAATCACCCGATTTAAACAAAGCCACTGATAACGCATACGATTTAAAATTAAAACCGAAATATTCTGAATATCAAGTTATTGATGTCACAGTGAACAATTCCAAGTTTTAAAATCATTCCTTGCAGAATTTTGACCAAATCACGTTCAAAGATTATAAATAATATACCCACTCAGATATTAGACGAAAATTTACGACGACCCAAACATTAAAGGGACAATAACACTCTTGCTGGCTTGAAAGCTCCAGAAAATAAAAAATAGCCTTATTCTAAGTACTAGATGTATTAGTGTCTTACCTGTTGTGTAAATTATCCATTAAATCCTATTTTACTTGTCGAGAGGGTTCAAAAATATTTTTAAATCCAAGTCACATTTGAAAAGCTTTACGTCAGGCTTTTCAAATCATTTAGTTGAATTTTTCCAATTTTTTAAATTGGGTGTGTTAAGATGAAATTTGTATCATCAATTAATTGGAATATTGTAAAATAGTGCAATTTGTTGACCAGAATAAAGATTGGGACATATTATTCAGTTACAACAAGAGTGGTATTGAGCCTTTAAATGAACATTCCCACGAATGTTTCAAAATTTACCGCAAGAGGTATTAAATCTTCGTGTGTAGTTTTAAAAATGTTTTATTTGCTATGATTTGACAATTTTGAAATTCAGCCAGGTTCTTATAGAAAGAACGTCTTCCTTATGCCCCAAGCGGTAACCAGACAACTAGGACCTAGCCATTGTGGTGCCCCAGGGCAAAAGTTTCAGTGCCCCCCCCCCTCCCTCGCAGACTGTAGCTTTATTGTCAGATATCCTCTCACAGTCTCACACAACAACTTTTGGTCTTGGAAGGAATTATTAGTGAGCATGTATCTGTTATCACTCGTCACTTCAGTCAGTTATACAGAGGAATGACTCGTGTTTTCCTTTGGCGTTCGTCGTTTATTGTTCAGTGGTCTGGCCAGACGGGAGGTTGGATGGGTGAGTGGACTGCAAAAGTTTATTCGTAATTTTGAAGATTCTTTTTGTATTCCTTTTGCTGTCCTTCAGCTGATGTTGAAAGTGATGTTTTTTCGTTTCTGCGATGAAGCTATTGGTGTTTGTTCGAGCAGTTATATATTTGTCGATCAATTTCCATTTTTGATTTTCTCCACTTCTTCTAGGCCTTACGACGTAATCTTTTTGATTGGCGGATTTCATCACTGAACTATCGTATTGGGCCGTATGGTGATAGTTTTGGTTAGAGGTGGGGCATGATCGTTTAGTAGGTCTGTTAAAACTCTGTCGTAGGCTTCAACCTGTTCGCTCATGCTATTCTGTGAGGTGATCCCCTGCAGTTGCTCATTTTTTCTCATAACAGCTCGGAAACCTTTGATGTCCATATTTTTTGTTTTCCGTGCCGTAAGCAATCTCTTGACTGGACCAGGTTTCAGGATATCGAGCCCAAAAAGTGCTGTAGTGGTCGGTGATTAAATGGTTTACAACGTCTGTTGATTTGAAGGAGACTAGTCCATAAATATTCAAAGGGCCCCCTTTGATATTTCTAATATGCACTTAGATAATATGCCGCCCTTAAGAAGTGTCGCCCCTAGTCCCGAGGACCCTAACTGGGGCCAACAGAAGCCCCTATCAACAATCTCATAATCCTTTTAAAATGCCAATCCAGAATTAAATTATGGGATGTATAGCATTTATAATATTTCATAAATGTGAGTAAGTGAGCGGATGACTTAGTGAGGTCACAATTGGTCAGACCTAAATATTAAGGCCACCTGCAGATTTCGTCAAGGTCATGGGAAATAAACAGGGTTATAGCATGTGAGTTGCTGTGGGTTAGGGTTAGCACTATCCCTATTTACATCTCGTGACCTTGATGAAATCTGCAGGTGGCCTTAATATTTAGATCTAGCCGTCACAATCATCCTCTGATCACCAACAATTTACTACTCTCGAGATCACAATTATCATTTGCAATTTTAGTTTATTTAAGGGCAGGATATAGTGGGAGGGCGCACTCAGGATGTTACTGTGAGCGATCCAGCAATGCCCGATAGCCTTAAGCCTTAGGTTTGTTTAACTTATATCGTTATTGACTTGAGAATTTTACCCTTTCTATGTGCCCAATTTGCACTTTAAAGTTAACTTGTTATGGCAGCTTGTATAGGTCCAGTCGTGCATTTTCATTGTGTCTCACTATATTTGTTTGGTTTTTAAAAGCACACATTTATAGGGTGACTCCTATAAATTTTCAGTGTTCACGACCTTTTATTCCTGAGTTGCCCCCCCCCTTTCCAAAAATCATAACAGGACAGGGGTTACAGTTTGTAACAGACTTGTTTCAAATTTGTTGCGACACATTTTGGTCATGAGTGGACAAAAAAAATTACTGCTGTCCATTTTCAGCACTCTGTAACCTTTCATTCCTGAAATAACAAACTTTATAATACACTAAAATCTGATTGAGTAACAACTCATTAAGTAATTATCAGAAAATCATTAGAATTTGTTTGGTTATAGTCAATCGGATATTAACTTTAGCCTCTAGATCGTCCACAAGATTTTTTGAAGTGATCAAGAGCCATAACTCTGGCAGTAATTATCAGAAATCGCTGAAAATCAATAGGCTTCTTCGTCTCATGACTTTAAACACTGTATAAATTTAAAATCAATCGCATATTAACTTTAGCCTCTAGAGCATAAACAAGCAATTGTGGACGATGGACGGCCGGGGGCAACGACTATATACGACCACATTTCAATGTTGGCGTATAAAAAGGCAAAAAATAAACACTCAACTTTTATCAGAAAATTTCTATTTTAATTATACAATAATACAGTAAAAAAAAATTAACAAGCAAATCAAAATTTATACAGAATTAACAAAATTAATCATCTAAAATACCTTGTTATTATCCCACTTTAAACAGGTGGCTAAAATATTCCATGTATACCATAGAGGGCCTTGGTACTTCTATTAAACAGAATAATACCTATTTTACTCATAAAAATTAATATGATCAAATGTTAAATATGAATCATTATTGCATTTCATGGGCCACAAATGTGAAACTCACCGTCAATTCCTCGCAAGACAAAAGCCTATGCAATTTTGAAAACGGCAATGATTTTGAATATACAAATATAAAAAACTATATTTCAATTATCTGCTCAACAAAACAAGCCAACAGTGAGGCTGATGTCCCCCACCAAAATCCCAAAATAAATCGATGACACATATTAATTAATCGAACATTTATTTTTTTCAAAAGTATCAAGCAATCAAACCATACACTAAATTTCATCACTCTCTATCAGATAGAATCAAGATTATCTTGTCCCAAAGCATCGACCAATAAAATTGATTAGCTCTGCTTAGCTTCAGCTCGAAATGCTAATCATTGAACTCAGTCAAGACATTCACCTAATGAACATCTACATCAAGTTTAAACATTCTACCTCAATTAAAAGCAGAGTTATTATGTTCCAAAGTCTTGAACAATCAAATTGCTTATTGCTCCTTAGCCTAAACAGAAAATTCTCACCATCGAACTTAGTCAAGGTAATGATATAATGAATCTTTATTCGGAGTTTCATCGCTCTCACTTCATTATAACCAAAGTTATCGTGCCCCAGAGAATCAACCAATCAAATTGCTTACCTCTGCTTACCGTAAGCAGACAATGTTCATCATCAAATGCTATCAAGGCATTCACCTAATGAACGCCTACACAAAGTTTGAACATTCTACCACAATTAGAAGGAGAGTTATTGTGTTCCAAAGTCTCGACCAATCAAATTGCTTATCGCTCTGCTTACCCTCAGAAGAAAATGTTTATTATCGAACTTAGTCAAGGTATTGATGTAATAAAACTATACATCAAGTGTCCTCACTCCAACTTAATTAGAACTAAAGTTATCGTGTCCCAAAGCATCAACCAATCAAATTTCTTATCTCTGCTTACCCTAAACAGAAAATGCTCATCTTCGAACTCCATCAAGGCATTGACCTAATAAACACGTACACCAAGTTTGAACATTCTAGCTCAATTAAAAAGAGAGTTATTGTGTCCCAAAAAGTGTGACGGACAGACAGACAAACCCATTTTAATAGTCCCCTGCTTTTTTTGAAAGGCGGGGGACAATAAAAGCTGAAAGGTTACAGTATATATGTAAATAACCATATAGAACACAACGATAATACAACTATTCATCTGATTCAATGTTGTTGCTTGATTTTAGTTTTAAGATTTTTCTGTATCTTAGATATCTAGTATGAGAAATATAACATTGGAAACGTTGCAATAAGTGTGAAATTACCCACCAAATCTAGCCTATTTTATAAACTACAAATAGGATGTTAATTAATTTCTTCAACATTCAGTACTTCAATACATATTATGGCCAAACAGTTATTTAACAACATGAATTTTAAACAAAACCAGGGGTTGCCAGGCAAGATACGCCCACAAGCTAAAATCAAAAGCAATTTTTCGTACAATCAGGGGCCATAATCCAAAAAGTTATGGTCTGAAATGCACAAATATCGAAAGGGACAGAGATCTTGGGGATATAAAGATATATTTTAAGTTTCATCAAAATCGGATAGAAATTGTGACCTCTAAAAGGTCCACAACCTTTGTATTACATACTTTTACACACTTTGTGTACAAAGAGCGGACATTTTGTCGGGCAGTTTGTTTCGATTTTCCCCTTCATTATGGTGGAACAGTATTATATTTAAAACGTTTTTTTAAAATTGGATAAAAAATTGTGACCTCTAGAGAATCCACAACTAAAAAGCACAATTTTTCATAATCCAGGAAGTTATGATCTGATATGCCCAAATAGCTAAAGGAACCAAGACCTTTGGGACATAAACATATATTTTAAGTTTCATCCAAATCGGATAACAATTGTGACTTCTAGAGGGTTCCACAACCTTGGTATGACATTCTTTTACACTATTTGTGTACAAGGAGCCGCCATTTTGTTGGGCAGTTTTGGTCCGATTTTCACGAAATTGGAACTCAACCGTTATTAGGGTATAACTTATTAGGGTGTAATGGTGATATATATAATCGGGGGCCATATTCGAGGAAGTTACGTTCGGATATGCGCGATTATCGAAAGGAATAAAGATCTTTGTGATATAAACAAAAATTTAAAAGTTTCATCAAAAAGAGATAAAAATTGTGGCCTGTAGAGTGTCCACAAACAATTTGTGGACGGACAGACAGACGAATGGACAGGGGCGATGACAATATACGTCCACATGAAAATGTGAGCGTATAAAAAGGCATGCCACAGGCTATATTTATTCATGTGTTTTAATTAAATAGTATTCAAAACAACTTTTAACCCAAAACTAATGATCCTTCAAGTAGCCAAAAGTTGCATGAATAGCTGTGGCGCCCCTAGATCTATTACACGATCCAATCTAAAGGAGAGGTATTGACATGACTGGTAATTCAGGGCTATACCTGTATGAAATATATCAATTTTCTCTAATTATCTTCAAGGAACCAGGGTAGGCAATACTAAAAGGTTAATCTCATTTTAATCACAAGTTTGCTATATTTTGTATTACATAATATAGCAGGGCAAAAATGAGTCTTCTCTTGCCACAAAATCCAAACTTAAAGATAGCCAAGCAAAGTTTGGAAATAAGCAACTCTATCGCTATGTCTCGAAAATCGATAGGTTTCAACCTCTTTGCTTTGAAACAATTTGAAAAAACCTGTTAAATAACTGTGGCCTCCATGATGTAAAAAACAATCCAATTGTTGACGGTTGTATCAAAGGACCGACGGTACAACGGACAGGGATTACATAATATGCCCACACTGAATTGTGGGCGCATAAATAGAAAATTGAAAAACCAGCTCATCTGGTCACTAGCTGCTTCAGAGAAAATCAGTTATTTATACAATATTTTAAGGAATATTCATGGAATAATGGTATTTATATATTAAGTACAGCTTTATTACTCTCATACATAACTATTTGCCCATAATATAGCTATCAAAATATACAATTATAAATAGCGTGGCTTATATTTTAGATTTAAACCTGATCAAAAAGTTAATGGTAATTTGATAATATAGATCACTGTAACATAGCTCATAATAACATCTACCTACATATGACATGTATATTTGAACCATTTTTTTAAGTACAATACTAAAATTAAAATTTACAAAGACAGGACCTATTTAGATTCATTTGATTGGAGTTGATATTTCACCAGACACAGGATTAAAACTTTAAAAACAACTGCAAACAAAGCAGCAAATTACCACTAGTGTACAAAAATTTTATTGTAGAGAGATGCATATGAACACAAAACAAATTCCAACAGATTCTGTTGTGTTTACTAAAAGTAATAGTGCCATTTTTTTGGGGAAAATATTTCATTCAATGAAAGATTATATCGATGGGTCTATATGGATTATTTATTGAGTACAAGTAGTTTAATTATCTTTAATGTGCATATAAAATTTGTGCTGTTGCTTTTATATAAATCAAAATAAATTTTAAAAATACTGCCCCTCTGTTTTGAGAGGAATAAGTGTGGGTTTTTATATTGTTTTATGTGATGTCTTCAAGTAATATTGGAGGTATTTTTTCACAAAATAAATAAATGAAGTAATACTTTAAGTACTGTCGATTAAATAGCTGTTTTATGCTAAGTAAAATGGACTAACAAATGGTATATATAATGTTTAAAAATAACAATAAAATAAAACAAAAGAATTTATTAAAATATAGGCGATGATGATGGCTGTATATCATCGTCAATAATAATTGAGTCTGTTTTATCACTTGATGTTGCATCTCCATTTGAACTAACATTTTGTGTTTGGCACTTTGTTTTTAATCCTTTGTTTCTGGTTTCTCTCACATTATCTGTTTTACAAGTACCGGTAGTTGTGTTCGGTTTAATTTCATTTCCAGTTTTTAATTTACTCTTTTTGTTTTGTTCACAAGGCACACTTTCTTGTTTACCGGTACTCTCTCTTGAGAGTGAACGCCGCGATTGAGCCTTTTCAGTACGCATTTTTGCTCTTTGAGTTTTAGCCTGTGCTATTTTCGCATCTGTCTGTGTGTCCTTTTTAATCTCAGTACTACTGATACCACTCTTTGCTCCCTTTACTTGTCTCGTTTGTCTTTCTGCAGATCCAGCCCTTCTCCCTTCTTTCAGTTTAAGTGATGACACTGTTGTAAGACCTTCATTTTTCAATGATGAATCCTTGTGAACAGTTGGTGCCCTAGTTGATTTGATTGGTCCACTTTGGTCACTTCCCTCAGAATCTGGGTTTTTTATTTCTTTGTCCATTATTGTACTGACAAAAGAGAATGGGTCTTTACTTTGACTTGTGTTTGTCGGTTTTGTTTTTGATGCCCGTGTGCGATTTGTTATTGTTTTTACATCAGTACCTGATGTTTTTGACTGCTCACTAGAAATGGCTTCAACTGCTTTAATTTCTGTGTTACTTGTAGGTAAAGTTGCTGTGGTTGTATTAGTATGTATACTTATGTCCAACCAAGTATCATCAAATGATGAATTAGAGATGGATTTGGAATCCTTGCTGTTGTGGGGTTTATCTGGAAAATAGACAAGTTCTTATTTTTATGCACATGGATAAGGTGAGTAAGTGTAGGATATTGTAAGCCATGAATGAGCTATCATATCATCTAGCCATTGTCATGCTTGTAGACATTGGTTTTAATTCTAATGTCTTTCTAATGAAAGTCCAAGAAACTCCAGTGTCACAACAGTGAACATTTATCACTGATAATAAAGCTAATTTTCTGAACTGATTGATATTCAATAATATGAAGGTTTCAGGTTGTGTGAATTACCCTCCAAAAATCTTTCCGATCTTTTTTGTTTAAAACTCTTTTCTTCTATTTTCAATCTAGCAGGTGCATAAGTTAATGCATTGTATTTAAAACCAATAGGAATGTGTAACAACAAAGATGGGAGAGCATATGTAACAGTTAAGATTAATTAAACTCACCTAAATCTAACACTTGATTATCCAATTCGTGTAATTTGATGGAGTAGGCATTAGATACAATATCCATCGGAATTGACTTACTCAATGATGTCTGTTGCTGTGTATTTTTAACGAAAGTTTGTTTTTTAGGACTAATATCAAGTTCACTATCAGCATCAGTATCAGATAATTCTAATTCAACCACAGATGATGGCACATTTTCACAAGGCAATATTTCTGTTTCAGTCTTTTTTCTTGTTTCTTCCTCTAACTGCCAAGTTAAATCTTCCACCTCTTTTTCTAGTGAACTTAAACTACTTTCACTTTCGGTTACTAATCTTGAAATAGACTGGAAAAGCAATTTTTTCAATAAATATATTACTATAAAAAAAACATAAGTTTCATGATAATATTCATTTCTTCAAGTTTAATTTGGATTTAATGAGAGAAATCTGACAAAACATAGTGTGCATTTTTCTGCATCTTTAACTTAATCAAAGGTTGCCAAGCAACAAAAACATACGTTTGACAGGAGCTATGTCGTCTGAGCTAACCAACCCATAAAAATTGTTACAGATCTGATAATTGAAGCCTCAAAGGTACTGACATTTTGTAACAAAGGGGAATAAAGTTTCGTCTTTCAATAAATAAAGTTATTATTATTATTATTATTATTATTATAAGACAGATAAACAAAATAAATTTCAGAAAGAAAGATAAATCATTACAGCCTATGAACTATGAAGTTCTAACAATTTCATAACAAAAGGCATATTTATCTTTTATAAAGCATTCTGGTAAGTTTTTGTGTTCCAAAAGGTACAACAGACAGCACAGGTGCTTAAAGATACATTCAAGCGTACAAACTGGTGATTTTTGATGATATATTTCGACTAAAAACATATTCAAAGTAACCAATCTATCAAAAATTTGCTTCAATTCTCTCTCAAAACACTGTATTCATCAGGGATACCTATAGCTATAAGTAAGCTGTTGTTAAATGCAATGTCTGTCAACTTAGCTTCATTGTCGGAGGGTCCATTTTTCAGAATGTATTTGTCATTACTTTTTGTACATCTACCATACATATTGAGGTCTAATTAAATTCTTCATTATTTCTGTCAACTTCTTTTTCCGTTGTTTATTTGCAGAGTCTTTTGTATGTTGACACTCCTCAACGTACACCTAACCATTTGATCAAGAAATAACAACCACTCCCTCACTTAAGCTGGCACACAATTAGCTGGCAGATAACAGTCGGCTTGCCAGTTAGTGATACCCTCACAATTTTGTCCAGTGCTTGCCCCATGGGCGTTTTTCGGGTAATCCAGTATTTTTCTAGTAAGATTGGGTGTCTATACTTTTCATATAAATATACCAAAATTGACATACTTTTATTGGAAAGAACCACCCAATAAATACTTTTCTGGGAAAGTATTTTTAACCTAAGCAAAAAATACTTATCACATTCTTCCTCAATTAGAAGCAGAGTCATTGTGGCCCAAAGTCTTGGATCAATGAAATTTCTTATCTCTGTTTTGCCTAAGAAGAAATTGTTCATCACCAAAAACAATCAAGTTTGAACATTCTATAGCCCAATAAGAAGCAGACTTACTGTGTCCTATAAAGTGTGACAGACAGACGGACAGACAAACACATTTTAATAATTACCTGATTTCAATCAGTGGGGTGGGACAAAAAGATATGATCATTGTAGTCCCTAGTATACTAACAAGAAATGTGAACTCATACAAATTTTAAAAAGAAAGATTCATAATTGAAGTCTCTACATGGTTTTCTACAGCTGATGAAGGGCAATTAGCCCGAAACTGTACTGTATTATATGTTTTAATCTTCTACACAGTGTTGTCTCGTTTGTTGCTCGGGATTCTACTTCATGTTTTATCTACACAGACTGGTTCCTGCTCGTCGACGGATGCATCACTGAGATCCAAACTAGCCTGCACTGTCTTAGGGAATCTTCCGCCCTCTTTTTATTTTTCGAGTGTGAGGTTTTTATCGTCTTCTACTTGGAACTGTTTGTTTTCTATAACTTATAAGGTAGACTATAACTACACACATAGCCTTCTAATGGAAAATCAAATTGCATAACTGTTTCCGATGGGAATACCTGACACCATTAACCCAAAGCTATTACTACTACAAGACAGATCTTGCGAGGTTTTGTACAGATATCACTGCTAGATATATTACAAGTCTTCTGATAGATATTATGTTGAAAATGTCTTTCTTGGATGATACAGTGGCACTATACCAGGGAGAGAGAGAAATGGGTTTAACGTCCTCTCGACTCAAACTAGGTCATTGCGGGACTAACATATGGTTCAATTTTATTTCAATAATGCGCGTGCGAGTAGGGGTCTTGAGCAATGGGAGGAAACCGAACCCTGAGAAAACCGATGAGTTCGGACAGGCAACCCTACTCCTTGTCACATCACTACACCAGAAGTTGTTCCCTGCTTTCTCAGAAGATATATATAGATTATTGTCGACTCCACTGCACTACCATGATATACAACCATATTAAACTGTGTGTGCATAAAAAGGACACAGAAATGATGGACAATGAAAGTGTCAATTTAATTACATGACATGTTGACCTGTTCCTTTAAAGAACTTACCATTAATTTTTTATGTAGACTGTCCGAGAGTTCCTGTATATTCTTGACCTGCATCATATCACCAGAACTAGATTCAAATCGATTTCTGAAGAAAAAGACAACTTGTTAATTAAAAACTTACCAACAAATGCAACACGATGTATTGTTTAACAACTGGTCAAATAGTGAATTTCTTACCTCATTATTTGAATCACTGGCATACTTGAGAGAAACAAACTGGGTCATTCTGGGACTAACATTTTATTTCAATAATTGTGGTCTAAAGAAGTGGGAGTAATCTGCAGTACCTAGGGATAACCCACAAAGTTATGCAGGCAACCCAACAGATCAAGTATCAAACCTGTACAGATAACAGGTCATATGATGTACAGCACATTAAGCTTAGCACAGATAAACCCTACAACTATTTTAATAAACATGAATTTCTCATCAACACAGTGGTAAAATGAGTGAGCGTTAAATCCTAAGATCTGTCATTGTGTCAAGTGCTGTGGTTTTGACTCCCCGCTTGTACGTGACAAGGAGTAGTGTCATCCGTCTGTCCAACGTCAGGGGTTTTCTCTGGGTCCTCTGGTTTCCTTCCACTGTGCAAGCGAATTATTGTAATAATACTGAATCATATGTTAGTCCCAAAATGACCTAGGTTAAACCCCATTGCTCTCTCTCTCTCTCTGTCTCTATACCTTGGTCACTTTGAGACTAACATGGGGTTAATTTTTGTTCCTATGGTCAGTGATGATGATCACTACACGTCATCAAATTCCAACAGTAAAGGGTTCTCTTAAATGCATACAAACGTTTTTTTTCGTACTATCCAAAAGAATAGACAAAATTTTCTTTGTCAGGCACCACAAGTGGGAAACTAATTTGAAAATTCCTGTGATTCCATAGTCCAGTTAATTTTTATTCATGAAATAGCACATAAGTCATATAATTATTACCGAAATGATGCCAATGAATTTTGAAGTGAATCTGGTCTATCACTGACACTGAGTTGACTTTGTGATTTATACTGTGTGTGGGTTGTATCGCCAAGGTTAACAACTGTAACAGGAATACGATCAAATTGCCTGTAAATAAACATTATTGTTACATGTATTTGTAAAATATTCTAATATTTATGCAAGTTTCTTGAAACACGTCTTCTTAACAATTAAACTATATGTAGACGTAAATTTTACAACAAATTAATATGTTATTTAAGAAGTGAAAATGTTCAATAAAAGGTTTTGGAAATTGACACTATGAAATGAAATTGGGGGTGCAGTGGGCGTATATGGGAATAAAGTATTGATATTACATTTGTACCTGTTTTTATATCTGTAGAAGGCATGATCATACGATAAAGTTGATAAGTTATTTGCTGCTGTAGCACTTGACATTAAAAACAAAAAATTTTCTGGTTGCTCGAGTAATAGTGTAGAAATTAAACTTTGATGTATATTAGATTCTTTCATAGAAATCCTCATGGTAGAATTTCTTCTACATCCATACCAACCAATGACTTCCTGTTGTCAAAAGAAAATATTAATTTCTAAATCGCATGTAATGTGTATGCTGGTTGGATATCCATGTTGGTATTCCATTTTGTAATTTAATCTCTTAAAATGTGAAACAAAAGACTGACAGTGGCCACATTTCACTGAGGTGAGTTTTGTTTCGTGTTTGGAGAATGTGAAACTAATATTAAACAAAAATGTGGGTTACTGAACATCTTAGTTTTTCACTTTTACTAATAATTTTCATAATCTTGTTCTAGGTTTGTTGTACTCTTGCCTTTTCACCTTTACATCTTCAAGAAGGAAATGCAACTGATAAGCAGACTAATCCTAGCCCCATAAATATTTATCTCATCATCAATGAGATAACAAATATCAACACAAGTCAACATAAGCTTATATAGATGCATTATGTAAGATTTAGATAAAGAGCTGACAGTTCACACTATAATAGTTAAAACAAGCCAACAGTGAGGCTGATGTCCCCCGCCGAAATCCCCAAATAAATAGATGACACATATTAATTAATCGCACATCTATTTTTTTCAAAAGTATCGAGCAATCAAACTGATTATCAACTATACACTAAGTTTCATCACTCTCTATCAGATAGAATCAAAGTTATTTTGTCCCAAAGCATCGACCAAGGAAATTGCTTATCTCTGCTTAGCTTTAGCTTGATATGTTAATCATTGAACTCAGTCAAGACGAACATCTACATCAAGTTTAAATATTCTACCTCAATTAGAAGCAGAGTTGTTATGTTCGAAAGTCTTGACCAATCAAAATGATTATTGCTCCTTAGCCTTAGCAGACAATTCTCATCATCGAACTTAGTCAAGGTATTGATGTAATGAAGCTATAACCAAGTTTCATCACTCTCACTTAATTAGAACTAAAGTTATCGTGTCCCAAAGCATCAACCAATCAAATTGCTTATCTCTACTTACCATAAGTAGAAAATGCTCATTTTCGCACTCTATCAAGGTATTGACATCATAAACACCTACACCAAGTTTAAACATTCTAGATCAATTAGAAGGAGAGTTATTGTGTTCCAAAGTCTCGGCCAATCAAATTGCTTATAGCTCAGCTTACCCTGAAGAGAAAATGCTCAATATCGAACTTAGTCAAGGTATTGATGTAATGAAACTATACACCAATACACCAAGTTTCATCACTCTCACTTAATTGGAACTAAAGTTATCGTGTCCCAAAGCATCAACCAATCAAATTGCTTATCTCTACTTATCCTAAGCAGAAAATGCTCATCTTCACACTCCATCAAGGCATTGACCTAAAAAACATCTACACCAAGTTTGAACATTTTAGCTCAATTAGAAGGAGAGTTACTGTGTTCCAAAGTCTCGGCCAATCAAATTGCTTATCGCTCCGCTTACCCTGAGCAGAAAATGCTCATTATCGAACTTAGTCAAGGTATTGATGTAATGAAACTATACACCAAGTTTCATCACTCTCACTTAATTAGAACTAAAGTTATCGTGTCCCAAAGCATCAACCAATCAAATTGCTTATCTCTGCTTACCCTAAGCAGAAAGTGCTCATCTTCGAACTCAATCAAGGCATTGACCTAATAAACACCTACACCAAGTTTAAACATTCTAGATCAATTAGGAGAGTTATTGTGTCCCAAAAAGTGTGACAGACAGACTGACAGACAGACAGACGGACAGACATTTTAATAGTCCCCTGCTTTCTTCGAAAGGCGGGGGACAAAAATAAGATATTGAAAGGGAATATGTTGAACATTTTAGCCATTCTGAGAGGAGTTAACGTCAATGGCAGAACAGTGCAGTCATTTCTTCAGCATCCAGGCTAAGGAAGATGAATAAACCTTATGCAGTGAACTATGAAGAAAATGTATACAATAATAAACAAAGTCTCGATTGTCCATTTTTAAATCAAATCATTAACTGCCAATTGTTTTAAAATCTGTTGAAAATCAAAACCACCCAAAGTTCTAGTGAGTTGATTATGGGCCTGGCATGTAAATAAATGTCTAATTAATGATCTATATAACATTTGAGGCCAAACGAAAGATTTGCATTAGACAGATTTAGCTCTTGAATAATGCATCTTAAAAAACTCTAAAAATAAATCATACTTATTTTAATAAAAAAAAAAAATAAAGTGAAAAAAAAAGAAATTGAAGTGACATCAAAATTATGGCGATTTGATATCTCCTGCAGTAGATATTGTCACATTGTTACATTGTAGTACCAAACATTATTGCATTATTGGGTGATAAATTTTATTATGCAAGAGCTAAATCTGCCTATTGCAAGTCTTTATTAATTAGGCTTGAACAGATGTTCTGGAAATGATTAATTAGACCTTTATTTACATGACAAGCTTGAAATCAACTCTGTAGACCCTTGGATGGCTTGGATACAGCTTGGATTTAAACAGTCGTCCATTTAAATTAAATCAATAAATGGCGGACCAAGCTAACGTTTACCGTTAGTCACTGACGTCACTACCGGAGACTGGTGATAAAAGGCCTGCCAAGTAAGGGTACCAATACCATAGCCATTGAGAATATTACTTGTAAGCAAACGATCAACAATTCTTGTAGACGGTGCGGACACAGTTGATGCCTATTTCTAGTCAAAACTTCCAACAGTGACAACTCCGTTCAGAATAAAGTAATTTGATTGAAATTTTCAATATTTTCTTTTTATATCTTCTATTTTTGAATTATTATAGCAAGAATGGACAATTCTTTATTAAACCCTTAACTAATGTATCTTTAAGTAGGCTACTGTAAGTGGATTCCACACTGACATAGACATACTTTTCATACAATTTACTTTAATGCTTGTGTTATGAAATCTATGACAATTTACCTGTTCCCTTCCATTTAAAACGGAGGCAAACATTCCTGGGTCTACTTTACCATTGCTACCATAGATGCAAATATCTTTAACCCATGGTTGAAAATCAATTATATCTGTAAAAATATATATCATACATTGCACATTAAGAATATCCATATGTTATCTAGCTCTATGACGGCAAACTGTACAGAAACAGCTGCATTATACATGTATTCCGATTCATTTTGGACACCACATAATGACATAAAATTTTACCCCTTGTTGCTAATAGGAAAAATTTCATTAATTATAAGACATGGAAGTGAATCTAAACAAAATTTGGATATGTTGGAACATGTACATGTACTTGATCTAGGCACTAATTTCCTGCATTCAGTGTAGCACTGACATTAACACGGCATTAAATCGAACTCACTATATTTATATTGAAATAGTCCCCCAAAAAAACAATATACTTTTTGTGGACAGACAGAAACAATCACGTGCCTTTCCTAATTATGTAAGCTTTTCAAATGCATAATTTTGCATTATTTAGCTTATAGCTATATAAGTGAATATAATATACATTAGTACTGTCAAATAAATTCTAAAATAAATATAGTTACATACAAACAATTGTTTCCACTTGACTGTTAGTGATTTCAGTATCACTGATTGTGTCTTGCACTCTTTTAATCACTTTACCAAACAAAAATCCTTCCTACAAGAAAGTATTAAAATAGTTAAAATATGGTTTAACATCCTACTTTTTCTTCAGCATCCAGGCTAAGGAAGATGAATATACCTTATGCAGTGAACTATGAAGAAAATATTGACTGCACAGCAGCAATGTTTACTGATGGTACATGTACTCTTCATGGAATTGTAACTGTCAGTCATATGATTGTTAATTACATGTACATGCATAAGTGTTAATTGTCCACAGCCCTACTTGTACACCTCTTTTCATGGTATGTTGTCAACCACCACTGCACTTTGTGTCTTTGACATTGTAATTATTCCTTTTCACTTATCTTATTAATCTGTTAAAGAAGACAAGTTGCTAACTCAATACCATGCACGTCCTCGACATTGCAAACACGACTTCTTGTTGGTTAATTTAAATCAACATTGATGTTGTTATCTTACCATGAAGAGATAGGCTTTTGATATCCAATATTTAAGACAAAATGAAAATTTCAAAATTGGCACACGAACCGCATGTCAGAATGCTTTTGAGCACCATTTGAAGAGACTCGGTGAACGAGGCTAACATATCTCACTGGGGAGAATACTACTGGCATAGACTGGAATAACTAGACACCAAAGACAGCTATTCGATTCGGTATCTTTGCATATTTCGCCGAACATAACTAATTAATTAGAATTTACAGTAAAGATAGGTTGCCAGGCAACGAAACATACGCCCACAGCAGTTAAGTCGTCCGAGCAATCAACAAGAGTTGTCGCATATTTTTTCTATTGTTGGTAATGAAACATTTATAATACACTAAAATCTGATTAAAAGTAACAACTCATTAAGTAATTATCCGAAAATCCTTAGAAATTGTTTGGCTTTTAGTTCAGTAGCTCTCCCCCATGCTAATGTTTAGTAATAGTATACGAAACATTTAATATCATGGATTTAGCTGTTCAAGTTATCAAAATTCATTGAAAATCAATATACTTGTTCGTCTCAAGACCTTAAACTCTGTTTATCAATCTAATGTCAATCGGATATTAACTTTAGCCTCTAGAACGTCCACAAGATTTTTCAAAGTGATCAAGGGCCACAACTCTGGTAGTAATTATTGGAAATCATTGAAAATCACTGGGCTTTTTCGTCTCACAACCTCAAACACTGTGCATAAATTTAAAGTCAATCGGATATTAACTTTAGCCTCTAGAGCATCCACAAGATTTTTCAAAATGATCAAGGGCCATATTTCTGGCAGTAATTATCGGAAATCGTTGAAAATCAATAGGATTCTTCATCTCATGACCTTAAATACTGTGTATAACTATAAATCTAAAGTCAATCGGATATTAACTTTAGCCTCTACAGCGTCGACAAGATATTTCAAAGTGATCAAGGGTCATAACTCTGACAGTAATTATCGGAAATCATTGAAAATCAATAGGATTCTTCGTCTCATGACCTTAAACACTGTGTATAAATTTAAAGTCAATCAGACATTAACTTTAGCCTCTAGAGCGTACACAAGATATTTCAAAGTGATTAAGGGCCATAACTTTGGCAGTAATTATCGGATATTGTTGAAAATCAATAGGGTTCTTCGTCTCATGACCTTAAACACTGTGTATAAATCTAAAGTCAATCGGATATTAACTTTAGCCTCTAGAGCGTCCACAAGATTTTGTTCAAAGTGATCAAGGGCCATAACTCTGGTAGTAATTATTGGAAATCGGTGAAAATCAATAGGCTTCTTCGTCTTGTGACCTTAAACACTGTGTATAAATTTCTAAAGTCAATCGGATATTAACTTTAGCCTCTAGAGCGTCCACAAGCAATTGTGGACGTCGGACAGGACAGATGTGGGCGACGACAATATATACGACCACATTTTAATGTGGGTGTATAAAAACAGAAACGATTGAATGTAAATCAGTTGATATACATTCATATTATGAGTTGCAACTCCTTTGTGTCCATTACTACATGTAGGTGCCAAAGAATAGCTATTTAGCTCCTTTAAAACATTCTTTTAAGAACAGCAGAAATATCAACACTCAAGACAAGGCTCCTTAAGACTAAAACTAGAGTCTATTCTTTAAACATTGATGTGATTGATCAACTAATCATGGCTGTGAATTGAATGGTCAATCAAGCTTGTGTACTAAATTTGATAAAACAAAAACAACAATTCCATACAATTATTTTAATTGAATTAACAAGTGTGTAGAGTCAACCTTATTTATAACCATTATAATACAATGCCAATGCTTGTGGACGAGTTAACTAGTAGAGTTTCTGTTCTGTCTATGTCATTTATTAACTATGACATCGTGAATATGACTTACCGTACAGGAACCGTAAGAAAATTTAATATTCAAATGATATAAACCATGTGTTGACAGTTGATACATCATTCTAATTCATATCATGGACCTTATAATATTATAAGGTCCATGTTCATATGTAATGATACAAATGACAGGCATATCTGCTATCTTAATTTGGGAATGATTATATTAAGCAATAGGCCTATCTATCATCATTCATGGAAATATGATGATGATTCATTCTCATTTTTTCACTCAAGATTCTCTGCCTGTTGTCATAAGTGATCGGATTTTCAAACTTTTCATACACAATTTTAAATAATTCTGCGTTAGATTCACCAGGGAATACAAACCTCATCGTTAGGGCTGTTTTGGTGGTGGTAAAATAGTGAAGCCAAAGTAACTCCGTTCACATTGGCAGCCATCTTTCATTTTTGCTCAACCCACTTCCGCTTAAGAATTTTGCGATCACCTCTAACCCTTGGATAATACGCGTATATTTCATCAAATTACAACTGAAAAAAATGGACACATGTTTTGATATTTCGTCTTGTTTAAAACAGACATTTTTTATGTCATCACTGTCAGAGACAGGCCACCTGTCTCTTACAAAACTCTAAAGTGAAGTTAGTGGATCACAATAAATTTAATTTTGGAATTAAAAGTGACCATGACCTTTCTCACCTTCGAGAATGATTTGATCATCATCAGTCCAGACCTTTTTGTTCAATTTTTCTCTAGTAATTTATTTTGAAAAGAGACTTGATAATCGGAAACTTGAATGAACTCGGTGACTTTGTTGATTGGAACGGAAAAACTAAAAAAAAGGCAAAGCCAAGAAACGAAGGTACAAAAATGTCTTCGACTGAAACTGGAGGACATTTTTCTCGGAAAACGTGTCCATTTCCTACACCCGTTGACAGAGCGGCTGTGAGTATTGCTTAATACCAGTTAATGATTTTATATTATAGTGTAGACACATCTGATCTATTCTATGGCATCATTTCATTATTTAAAATATTATAAATTATGATTTGTCACTAGTATACTACAGTAGGCCTATATGTCATGTCGACATTTGGAGTGAAACAGGTGTCCCAACCTTTTGCCTTTAGTCTTAGGCTAATTAGATCACAATAATTATAAATATGTATTTGTATAGGCTATACATTTAATGTAGACATGTAGGCCTATATTGTCGATCAGTAGTTACATCATCATCTAGACTACTGTAGTGATTGTTCATATTTGGTCCAATTCAAGGAAGAAAGAATCATTAAAATTCATAATTTTCTATCACAACCAAATTAACCAGTAGCCAAATATCATGATTATTAACTAAACCATACACGGATGCGTTATAATTTGTAGATTGTCATATATTTTAAACACAATAATAACAAATATATATTTCCAGGTATGGTTGATTAAATGTATTTAAGATTGTGACTCAAAAATATATTCAATAAATCAACTGACCTTTTGATTTATGTAGCCTGAACGAAATTAGATGTGCATTATACTATAGCCTACTATATTATAGTCAGTGTTGTGTCCTTCAAATTAACCTACTAAGTTCACATAACTAAAGCATTGCATCCCATGTTCTCATAAAAAAAAAAAAAAAAAAAAAAAAAATCTAATAATAGTAATATCTTCAATAGTTTTAATTGTGTCCTGCAATACATGTATGTATGTTGACCTGATAATTTGGGCAATATCAATACTATCACTATAGCATATAATATCTTAAGCTGGATTATCTCCCTTATACTACCGATATGTCAATTACTGCAAGCATAAATATTTGGTTATAGTCCGGTCAATTTTTGAAAAATTGGGAGTCAACCCCCACAAAAGGTTTTTTGATGGTTGTTGGTAGTGTTGGGTGTACTGAATGACATACCAAAATGGGAGTACCTCCGGTACCGGAAAATCCTAAATTTTGAGATTAATACATCAGTCAATTTATGTAAAAAAGGTAGGCCAACCCCGAAACAATTGCAAAAAAGTGTTTTTGATGGTTTCTGGTAGGGTTGGATGTACAGAACCACATCCTAAAAGTTTACCAAAATCAGAGTACCGGTACCAGAAAGTGCCAAATTTTGAGGGTAAATATGCTAAGTTTTTAAAATTATTTTCCTTTAAAATGTAAAACTTCAGACAAGCATAAAGTCGTCAATTTTTAAGCAAAACAAATGAAACTGACAATTGGCCTTAGGTTGTCAGGGCCAATCTTTCATATGAAATGGTTTTCATAGATGTCCGATGCTCGGGGTACCCCTGCCCTAAAAACCTATGACCGAGAACCCGCATACGAATGGGTATACATCTCTGCACTGTTTGCCATAAAATAGCAAATTTTATTATCCTCTCATTTGTAGATATACCCAGTGATGTTAATTGACCCGTACACCATAGTCCATAGACCGTTATGAGGTTGTTACGTGAAATAAAGTTAAGACGAAGCCAAAACTTTTTTCATGTAACAACAACCCAGGGGTGAGAGGTCTATATCAGCAAATATAAATGAAGGGAGATTAACAACAAAAACACATTTTTCTTCAAAATAGATTAGTCCTCCAGTTACCAGGTTGATATACATGTGAGTGCAGTTTACTACGAAAACACGTCACATTGACCCTAAACTTGTCTGTTTATTCTTCAACATGCAGTTGACGGAGTTTGATGACGAATTGAGACACAAAATCAGTTCTTTGCTAAGTAAATAATGAAGAATTGCCTGATGAGAATAAAACCAGTTTCCAAGCCAAACACATTAAACTGTCTGGCCATACCAAGAAACAACAATTATCAACGCCCCAAATTCCACGATAAACTATTTTGTTCGATTTAATAGATTCATTGTGTGTTATTGATTTTCTTGTATGTAATTTTGAAATATGTACGGAAGTAAATATCGGAATATTGACCTCTGGTGATGTCACAAGCCGTTAATATCCAAAATAACCATCATGGAGATCAAAGAGATGACAACATGGTTTGTATTTACAGATGTAATCTGCATCACAACCTGCGACCGAAACCCTTAATTTACGAATAGGCATATCTCTGTCATAATATAGTAAATTTGGTGTCTGAACTAATGTTTTTGGGGTCATTATTTCATTTGAAGATATGCTCAGTGGTGTTAACTGGTCCCTTACACTATTTTCAGGGTATTTCATCAGGTACTGGCATATTTGGTATGTGTACATGTTTTGAGGTTTTACCCCTAGCCCCATAAAATGCTGTCATAGAAAATGGGTAAAGCAAGACAAGCAAATAAATGCGTAAGGAATCATTTGCCAATTTCCTCTACATTGAATGAAGAGTGTTGTCATCTAAATGATTTCTAAGACACGTGGGGTTGCTTTTCATTAAATGATTACCTTTTGCTAAAATATGCGTTAATATCCGTTTGCAGTGCTATACAATGTTATAGTTTGCATCAGATTTACTGTTATACATCTGTAGAAACTATAGAAAAGGCAAAAGTTCAATACATGTGGCTGCTGCTTTATGTGATGAATTTGAGTTAAGAGGGGGTTGACATGTTGTACAAGCATCTGGAGATGCTTATGTTGACATGGTAAAGGTATCTACTGAAGCTGTAGATTTGCATTCCATGACATTGATTGAGGAGGAGACATATTTTCTGATACTGCAGGTGCAAATGCAAACATCTGTGCAAAAAGACTTTATTTTCTATTCCAACAAAAAAAGCGAAAAATTTGTGTAGGACATAGTTTGTCTCAAGAAACTTCTGGCATCCAGAGTATGTTTCCAAGCCCGTTTCTTCACAAAATCTTCCAGTGCACAAAATTTCGTAAACGTTTCAGATATTATAAAATACACCTAAATAAATGCAAAAATGCATTAAAAGCTTTTTTTGCAATTTTTGGGGGGTTAAAATCATAAATTGACTGACCTATTATTACGTTTGCATGTTCTGACTAAAGAGCTGCGAAATATATTTATCCATTTACCGTACGTTATAATAGAATTAGAAAATTTAAGGTTGTTTTTTTTTTTTAAGATTACATATTTAGTAAACTACTGGTGTATCACAGGTTCACAGCTGTAATATGGGATTCAAAATACTAACTTGCCGGAAACAGCCATATGATGACTTTTTTGATAGTCATTTGGTAATTGAACATATTAACACAAGGTACAATTACTGAGTTTGTGGTGGCATGGCTTGAGTTCAAACCCGTCGAGGGGGTTGGATGGCTGAATGGTTAGCGTGCGCGCTGTATCATAAAGTCTGTCATTGAGTCGACTGGCGTGGTTTCGAATCCCCGGTTGTACGTGACAAGGAGTAGGGTCGCCTGTCCAACCTCGTGGGTTTTCTCCGGGTCCTCCGGTTTCCTCTCACTTCTAAAGACCCCTACGCGCAAGCGAATTATTGAAATAAAATTAAACCATATGTTAGTCCCGAAATGGCCTAGTTTGTGTCGAGTGGACGTTAAACCCCATTTCTCTCTCTCTCAAACCCGTCGTCCAAGTTCATCCCAAAGGTGTTCGATCGGGTTCATGTCGGGAGACATAGCGGGCCAATCCATAACACGGACATGATGATTGTTCAGAAAGTCTCTTGTCAACCTGGCAGTGTGGGGTCGGGCGTTGTCATGCTGAGCCAGCAATGGAAGCAACACCGGACGTTGAGATTGTATTGGACCACCAACTGGGATCGGAAGTTGACGTTGATAGCAGCCCAAACCATGACGCCACCTCCCCCGAAACGATACCATTCCAGCACGCTGTTACGAGCAAAGCGTTCAAGTCGACATTGGTAGATACGGTGACGTCCATCAGGAAAACTGAGGTTGAATCTGGATTCATCCGAGAAGATGACATTTCGCCATGGTGTGTTGTGCAGATACCCCTGATTTATGGCACATTGCTGCCTGGCAAGTTGATGACGGTGCAAAAGGATTTGACCTTGGTAAGGTCGATGGCAGCGTAACCCAAGAGCAGCCAGGCGCCTTCAGACTGTTTGAGGGCTGATCTGACGTTGTCATGTTCCAATCTCTGATATAAATTCAACTCGTACCAATTACTACTACCTACCTGTAAATATTCAATAATATTTATCGATTTTTGTGAAGAAAATCCATGAATTATTATTTTATCAAAAAAGCACGTCATATTTCTCTCCAGTTTGTTAAAACACAATACCTGTTTGAGTTGGATAAGGTCTAATCAAATGAAACACTGCAAGGAGTATAGTGAATAGTAGGCAAATATGTATAGTCATGCCATACGCGTTGCAATGGATTGAAAATATTGGAAGGGTTGAACTAGCGTAGAACAAGTAGAACAATCATTAGTTTAACTGTGTATAAATTTTATTTTTTTTTGCCTGGCAGCCTATCTTTAAGAGAGGAAGGATTACTGCTTGAGGGTTTTTAAACACATTGTACATTTTGTTTGTATTTTGGTATAAGATTGTGTATGTTCTCCCTGATCCTGTAGATGGTAATGTGCATGATGTCTGACATGTGAGTAAGATTGAACAGGAAATGACCATGTCCTGAAACTTATTTAATTACAGTCCTGGTTTCACTCACTATATATCCTGTATGATGTACAACAGGATCTACCAATCACAATAGTTTTACTCAATGAACCAAAATTATTTGAATTATATGATAAGCTGTTAGATAAGCCTTTACATTTTTCTATTTTTATATGTCCACATTATGAATGTTGGGGGGATGAATGGTTAGCACGCGCGTTTTGAATCCCTGGTTGTATGTGACAAGGAGTAGGGTCGCTTGTCCAGCCTCATGGGTTTTCTCCGGGTCCTCTGGTTTCCTCCCACTGCTAAAGACCCCTACGTGCAAGCGAATTATTGAAATAAAATTAAACCATATGTGAGTCCCGAAATGACCTAATTTGTGTCGAGTGGATGTTAAACCCCATCTCTCTCTCTCTCTTTATTATGAATGTGGGCGTATATTGCCGTCACCGTCTGTCTGGCCGCAATTTTTAACTGATTGTCTTGAAACTTTGGATACTTATTCCTTATACCCGAAGAAGGATGATTACTATTGTTTTAGTGCATGCCCGACCCCAGGAGCAGAGCCAGAGCCAATTTTTGTATTTGTCTGTTTGTCCCCTACAGACCACATTTCTTAATGGATTGTCTTGAAACTTTGCATTCTTATTCCTTTATATCACCAGGCTCGTCCCAAGGGCAGAGCCACTCCCATTTTTTCTTTGTGTGTCTGTGTCGCCTACAGGATCCAATTCTTAATGGATCGTCTTGAAAACTCATAATTATACCAACCATAAGGATGATCCCAACTGTTTTTGGTGCATGCCCAACCCTGAGGGGCAGAGCCCCACCTTTTTATTCTTTTTTTGTCTGTGTGTTGCCTACAGGGCACAATTCTTGATAAATTGTCTTTGAACTCAGCATATTTATTCCTTGCCCCCTAAGGACTGAAACTATTGATTTTTGTGCATGCCAAACCCCCAGGTCGCAAGTATTGACATATTTTGATTGACATCGGCATTCTTAATGGATCCTCTTGGAACTTGGCATATTTATTCCGATTATCTGTTTCACCATCAGCAATTGGCCGATAAGTAGCTTATCGGTAGAAATCGGTATCAACCGATAATCTGCCATTTTGCCAATTCTAGAGTCTCTGATATCTGTTCAGAAAGGCTTAGTAAATACCTTTAAAATATCATTCGAGTTGTGAACAATTCAACAAATCATTCTCTCTTACTTGGTAGTCGGTCCTTTTATTTTAGTTGCCGTGTGTGTGACTATTTAGATATATTACAAGACTCGACTTTCAGAAGCTGTAAAAAGGAAAGAATAAACAATGCAAAATCCTTCCCACCCTTTTTTTATTTACAGTAATTAAGCCTTCTACTGATGCTGATAAATATGTAGTGATCTGTATTGTTATCAACATTTAATCATAATAATTCATACTAAGCGCTCAAAATTGTGTTAAAAGCCGAAGTAAACACGGTCTGCTACAACAAAATAGAAAAATTGTGTTGTAGTAAATCACTGACACATATCAAGTGTTCATGTAATAAAAATGGCATTCCATGGTCATCTGAGTTTGGTTCTTTTGGAGGGGCGGGGAATATTTAGATAAACTATGTACATAATTTGGACGCAAGTACCCTTTTTCTCCAGATAACGTAGACTTTCAGAAGAAAAATCCCTGCTATGCTCTATACTGATTCCATCTCATTTCCGTTATAACTATGACAGATTTACTAATTAAAACATGACGGGATAGAGTTTTTCTAACATGATATTGCAAGAGCAAAAGCTCTACAATGGAAGGTCTCATGCATTTTAAATTTTATCTCATGAATCGGACAAAAATTGTCGCCTTTGGGAGGTCCACAAACTTCATTTATATTTCACTTAATTAGAACTGAAGTTATCGTGTCCCAAAGCATCAACCAATCAAATTGCTTATCTCTGCTTACCCTAAGCAGAAAATGCTCATCTTCGAACTCCATCAAGGCATTGACCTAATAAACACCTTCACCAAGTTTGAACATTCTAGCTCAATTAAAAAAGAGAGTTATTGTGTCCCAAAAAGTGTGGCGGACGGACGGACAGACAGACCGACAGACGAACCCATTTTAAAAGTCCCCAGCTTTCTTCGTAAGGTGAGGGCCAAAAAAAATTCATTGACGAGTAATTTTACTGGCCAGAAATCGCTTAGAAAGTGTCTCCGATGATCTAGACTCCCTGTAGCTTCCAGGGCCTAGACGGCCCCTGGACCCTTGCCTGAAGTCCCAGGACAGTAGCCCCCCTCGCCCCCAATCAAGTATTGCTTCTGCCGGCCCTGTAGAAAGAATTTTTACATGATTGAAAGAATTTATGACTTTATTCACAATGAATTGATATGTTTTGTGTCTTAAGATTTCATGATAAGCTTACATGAACCTAAAAAGGGTTCATTTTCTTTCCAAATTGGTCCAAAAACTTTTTACATTTTATTATGGTCTTTTTGATTTTTTTGTTTTAGACAGGTTATAAATATACATAGGCCTGTGCCACACCTATAAAAAGCATGCAGGATATATTTTTCCATTACACATAACAATAACTCATCTAGCAATTTGAAAACTAACAAATAGTATGTGTCTGTCGTATGTTTGCATAAATGGTCAATTCAAAAAAAAATTATCTGAATTCCTTTCATGTTTGTATACTTACCTTCATTTATCCAAGGGGTATTGTACAAGTGAAATTCTTGTGTATTTTCTTGAATTCTGGTTGTTGACTAAATGAAGACAGGAATCTTGTTGATTGTTAATATTACTATATTCTATGGTTAACAATTAATCAACATAATCAATGCTTAATAGTAGATAAGCTCCAATATGAATATGGAAATTGACATAAACTTGTGTCTCCAAATATCCAAATACATGTTAGGAATGTGATCTAACTTGATCTCCCAAATGACACGTTTGTAGAATCGCCACACCATGGTAACTAAAACGCTATAGCCCGTAGACGTTAATTACAATTCATAAGATCAATTTAAAGTGAAAAAAAAAAGAAACAGAGGCAGGCGATTAAGCAAATATATAAGACAATGAAATGAAATGGAGTTTAACGTCCTACTGTTCTGCTCCTAACCTGGGCTAATGAAGACGGGCATACGCCATACAGTGTGCTATGAGGGAAATTTTGCCCGGACAGCGGCACTACGGCCTACTCTTATATCGAATTCCAACTGCCAAGGGATCTTTTACGTGCACGCCAATGTGTACACGGGACCTCGGTTTTTCGTCCCATCCGAACGACTAGACAGCTTTCCTTGTCAGCCCCTCCGTCCTGCATCACTGACAAGGGAGAACCACGCCGGAAAATCTGGATGAACTTTCTCGGCCAATGCAGGGATCGAACACCCGACCTCCAGGCTAGCGAGCTAGCGCCTTACCCACTTAGCCACGTGATCCCCGCAAATATATAAGACAATATGAAATAGATATAAGCAAGGTGGATTAAGATCCATTAAAATATAGTTTACTGAATCAATTAAGTAATACTATGTGATTTAGCATGATGTATTAAACATACTATTGAGTCCAAATTTACCCTACTACAATATGCTCACATTGATTAATTATTTGTACCATAGATGGGCGTCCGAATATACATCCACATAGCAGATCTAGAAGCTGTGTATAGCAGGTCGTTTCTAATTCTAGGGCACCATCCACAATCCCGTCCCCCAATGGATGTCAACAAAATACGTAATAAAATGCATAGGCAAATTAATGAAACTGGCTATCACTGAGCGCCGGTAGAACATAGATCGTATTGACAATATAGTTGTTCTGCGATAGTTGTATCACCGGAAAGTAGTTTTATTTAAAGAAGTTCATGTCATAATATGATTGTTATTGATTTTGTTATTATTTTTTTGTGAACCTTAGTTCCGCTTACTCAGAGTGTAGTCAGAGTTCTTGTCAAATTTTTTTCAAATTTGTGGGGATGATTCATGTTGCAGTAAGGAAGAATGCTATCGAAATCCAGGTCAGAGTTATTGATAACAAATTTTTAAACCTGGATGATTCATTGTTTTATAAAATTTGCAGTTTGACTTTTAAAACTTGTGATGCAGTGTACTGCAAATTACCCAATCTACGTAATTTGTTAAAACTTGGTGGGATAGTTCGATGTTGAATTTATGAAACCTTTTTTGACGCAATAACAATACAATAAAGAATTTGAATGAAAATCTACACACAGCATGTTTAGAATTATATACTGATGTCCAAAAGAAAGTATATACACTAAAAGTATGACTAAGTTTTGTTTAGATTAAAAACATTTGATAAAATGTCCAAACTCAACATTTCTAAGCAAAATAAAAATGTGAAACAAATTGACATTCTACCCAAATATCGTATACCATGGAAAAACGACTTTGGTTGATACAGCACAAAATGCACAGTGTATACTTTCCTTTGGACATTAGTATATATTATTATCGATCAGCTACTTTGTTTGCCCAAAAAGTTTTGATTTGGATTTTTGATCAATATAGTGCTTTTTTGACAGTAAGAATGGATGTGTACAATGTGCAGCAGAAACTGTATAAGTCTTATATTTAAGTAATAAATTTTTTAATTGTCAAAGATTACTAGGATATTTTGCCAGTTGAACTATGTGTGGATATGTTCAGCCAACTGGAATGTTTAGATATTAAAGTTGGCCTTGTCATTTAGTATCACATGACTTACCCAGGATAGGCTACATTAATACTGAATGAAAGCATTTGTGTATGTGTGTGTGTGTGTGGGTTGTAGGCTATATTGATTCTCCAACCAATCAGATAGCAGACACTTGGCCAACAGACACAGGAAAGAATTTATCCTTATATTCAGGATATACTCATCACTGAAGTTGATATTTACTGTTATTTCATACAAGTTCAAGGAAAGTTCAGTATATAAACAAGTGAACTGATTACAAGGATTTTTAAAGAGACTTATTCTTTTATTTGAATAATAATCTAATTGTGCTGTGATGCCCTCACAAGGGAAATTCCGAAGTAGTGGTAAAGGGTCAAAAAGGTCGTCTGTAAAGAAGATAGTAACCGATCCAAAAGAAAGACAACGATTGGTCAGTTTTTATTTATTATTGATACGATTATAGTCATATTGATTAATTTGTGATCTGTATACTTACCACTGTACCAGATATAAGAAGCATGTCCCCAGTAATGGTATAATATAACATAAGTAGGTTAAATGCCTCAGCAGCACATTCGTTCTTGCCAAGGTGAATGTATTTTCCTGAAAGGTCATAGAATCTATAATTAATGAGATAGTAATCAGTTTCATATCAAATTTAGCTATTCCTGTACTTAAATGTCAATTCTTAAATTGTACATATATATCTAAATGGGGAGAAAATTAGACATTGTTTACATATTTGATAGACTACCATAAATGCCTTCATGTACATTACTGGTACTACACAGCCTCATCCATATACTGCTGTGTGTCTCATACCATGTTTTATAACTGTGAGTCCAAAGTTTGTACTAGTTTTGATGTTGTTGTATTTGTATTATGATAAAGCAATTTCTGTTAATGCAGATAGTTGGTTAGGCCTCTACTGATAGATAGTTGTCCAGATGTAAAATCGTGTTAGTTAAATACTGTGTGGCTTTACTGATATGTTAAAGTAGATGCTTTAAGTCACACACATGGCACATGGCTACACCCTCAAATTGTTCAGATTTATGACCTATATTGTGAGGACATACATGTAGTTCACCCCGTTCAGGCTTCAATGAATATTAATACCTTGCAAAGATATAATAATGACACTTTGCGACCTAGCAGTATATATATATATTAGATTTATAAGGTAAGGGATCCAAAATATGAACACTAATAGATCTAATATACTGCATGGTTGAGTAGGTTAATAAAATAAAAGTTATGATGTTATTGTTAAAAAACAACAGTTAGCCTGTCAAGTAGTTTACAAATTGCTTAGTTTTGTAGTTTGAAGATATGTAGATGCTTTTAAAAAAAAGTAAAAATTTAATCTAAGCTTGGTTCTGGAAAATAATTGATTTTAAGATGCATTATTCAAGAGCTAAATTTGCCTATTGCAGGTCTTTCATGGGCCTTAAATGTTATATAAACTATTAATCAGACATTGGATGCTCGAGATTTTAACTAGATTAGAATGACGTGGCCATTTAATGATTTAATTTATGAATGGAGGAGGGAGTCTAAGACTTTAATGTACCAGTACCGTGGTTACAATAATGAACAATCAATGCACACATCTTGTCAATTAAAACTACAAACAGTCATACATAACTTGGCTCAGAATAAAGTAATTTAAATGAAATTTTCAGTATTTTCATTTTGTATTATCTATTTTTGAACTATTATAGCAAGAACAGCCAGCTCTTTATCTAAATCTTACATAATGTATCTTTAACAAATATTTAGAAATATTTTAGGTTATAGCAGTTACATGTATATATTTCTAAAAATACTATGCTAAAATTAATATCTGATTGACTTAAAACTTATGCTCAATACTCAATGTGTATGTTTATAAAATGTAAGCTTATAAGGTGAATAATTTTCAACAGTTTCCAGATATGGCCCTTAATCATTTCTAAACATCTTGTTGATTCTCTGTTGGCTAAAGTTATCATCAAATTGACTTCAAAAGTTATACTCAGTGTTCACAATGGTCATAGTTTAAGTAGCCTATTCAACAATTTCCGTTAACTCAAACAGCTACAGAAGTTATAATCTGATTACTGGTACATGTACATCTCTCGGGGTAGTGGTGGTGACCGGCATGGGTTCCATGTCAGCCGTATATGCCGGTCGGGCCGGAGAGCTTTGGAAAATGACTGGAACTGGAGTGGATCAGACCTGTAGGTCATTTTGCACGCCGGAAAAAAAGCACATTTTGTGCTAAATCATAAAATCCCCAGACATGACGAAACTCTGTGTGTGTCGTGATGTAAACTGTCGGGTATAATAAAATCAACAGTGTTCAGTAGACCATGAATGGAAACCACTTCCAATTAATTATCCTTATGTATATTGCTCTATATTGTGTATACTGACCGCTGATTTTGCCTAAGGAACAAAGTATTGTGGGGGCCATTTATTGGAGGGTGGGGGGGGATAGAGGTAATGCAGCATATCTGAGGCAAAAAGAACAAGCAGGGGGTTGGCAATACGATTACAACCAGCTTTGAAAAGCGCATTGAAACCACACATGATATTTTTTTTCCATTCGAGCAGGGTAGAAAAACTCAAGAATAATATTTTTAATGAATTCCACATTGCTTAAATTCCACATTGCATCCTATCCAAAACATTATAAAATGTATTTTGTGACTGAAAACAACCTGTAAGACACCAATATTGTTTGATCATATTATACAACAAATAAGATTCCTGTAATGTGACTAATGTTTTATTCTTATTAAATCAAAATTTTAAGATTTAGAAAATAATAATCTACATAATAATTTAGATGGAAGATTAAAAAGCATACAGATTCTCAAACTAGACATAAAAAACTATGTCTTTATTTAATACTGTCGTCAGTGGTGGCCATGCCCAACTGATTGATGTAATCATACAATCTTTGGTTGTATTGTGATCTTTGATTGATAGTTTTTGTTAGTAATTAATAGTTAATTGTAGTTATATAAGCACGGTACACAATGACTTATTGTTTGTGTGTGACATTTTATTTAAGATTTGATGGTATCTATAATATAAATATATAAATTATAAAGAATTATTTAAAGATCTTCACCTTGTCTGTTAAGCTACATATTGATATAAATTCAATGTAATCTGCCATGACAATGATAAAGATGCCTTCCTACGTACAGTGTGATTTGATGATATATTTAGACCAAAACATACTCAAACTTATTTATTTATCAAAAGTTTTGCTTAAAATCCATTTCAAAACATTTTAAATAAAACATACCACCCCAAGCTGTAAAACTCAAGTTTTAGTATCTTTATTTGTGACTATATTGAGGGGAGGGTCCATTTTTGGTGTCAATATCAAAGCCTTAGTAAATTCTTGGATTATCCTCTGCCAACTTCGCTTTCCATCATTTAATTGCTAAAGTCTCCAGTAAGTTCAAGTCTCTCACTGTTCTGACAACCACTAGCCATTCGATCAACAAAACCAAGCCCTTCCTATATCATTCAAGCAGACAAAAAGCGGACAGGCTTCCCATTTGAGATCCCCTTACATATTTATCCTGTTAATTAGAACTATATTCAGCCCTGATACTACCCCAAATGTTTATCATTAATGTAGTAAACATTGATCTACGGTAAAATGAACAAATCTATTAAATAAGAACAGATTTGATCACAGGACCGGGGTCATTGTATCCTTTTAATCTTTAATGAAACTTTTAATTTTCTTTTCAAATATGTAATTTTTATTTCAATAATAATAATAATAATATGGATTATTGCTCTTGTGCATGTTATGTCAAAATACATTATTAACATGTGTAAGTCTTTATTCAGCTAATTCTTTGACTTTTGTGTCATCAGAGTTTTAAGGTATTTAACTTCTGAGACTCAGTACTCTAATAGTAAGACATGCAAAACAACACCGGCAAGATAAATCTGCGGACAAGACAAACTATATAGACATAGCAAGAAATAAACAACAAATACCAAATCAAGTGAATGGATCTGGAGCCAGCTGTAAGCGTCCAATGCACTGTACAGTTCTGGGCCTGTAATGACGCAGACTTCACTCATAAAAAAGAGACTCTATAATACCTAATATGCTCCATCTGAAAAATAAAAAGGATAGCTAATCAATCTATGCAACAAGTTTTCAAGGACAGGAGTAATATCTATGCTTAAAATGGATAGACAGTCTAAGTTCTATTACGATTAGCTGAACAGTCCCGACAATATTGAAATGAAAATAATCTCAAAAAACCTTTGAAAGAAAATCTCCAAACCTGAATTCCCATTCTATTATTTGCTTGTTTAGCTTGGCTATTTTCACAAAAACATACAAACAACAGTAAAGACAAATTTTGAAAAGTAATTATGACTTAAGAATGTGCACTGTATTCTTTAGATTTATAACTCAACAGGAAGTATCTGCAATAGCCATGCAGTACTCTTAAAAATAACAAAAATGTAACAAAACCAAAATTTGTAGGAATGTCTTTTCAGTTATTACCATGTAAAAAACCATGTAAAGACATGGAAAAAACAAAAAGTCATTAATTTGACTCCAGTTGTCTAAATTGAGTACCATTAGAAAGCATAGCAAAGCGATAACACAATATAATTTTAACAAAATAAAAAAATAGACATGCATGATATTAACAAAGTGCTTTGACAACCTTATTCCCTGGTTTTGTGAGTGAAAACCTCTCGATCAGTCAGTGTTTTATGTCTTGGAACAGACCAACAGAAGAGACATACAATTTGTGCGACAACCATGTGCAGTCAACTTAATTGTTTGGATTTCCCTTTCTTTAAACTGTTTCCTTCTGTTGTGTGGGATTTTCCTGCTTGACCAATACCCTGTTGATTTAATAGTGACACCAAGTGACAAACCTCTAACAAAGCATTAACGGAAAAGACAAATTGTTCTCAAAATTTTGACAGAAACAATATTTGATATAGTTGATTTCTATTTCTTCTTTAAATAGCTTATAGGACATTATATTAAGCTCTATTGGATGGCTAATTGATAAACACTGTAATTTTTACTGACCTTTCAATTTTGAAAGGAGATTTCCAAGTTCAAAGTTGAGAATGAGGAGTTTTACCATAACGGAATGGACATTTTGACCACATTATTTGATATACTGAGTTTATTTTGAATAATAGCCTTATCAAAATATTTTCGCAAAGAAAGTACTTCAATATATAATTTTTTTTGATGGTTACGAAAATATTATATTATATATTGGGTAAACCAATTTTTTTCGTTGTTTGTAAATTTTTGTGAAAATAGCCCAGTTTCCCTATCTTAAACATTCTGAACATCTGAGACACGCTACCTGCAGAGAAGTATCTCAGACACAGTCAGTAGCCATGATATCCATATCACATGATCTACAC